TTACCATTTAATGCCTGGCTCTTAGCATACAAGATCAGTACGCTTTCTCACTTTATCCAAATGAGGAAAATCAGATAAATCAAATCCTAACTCACTTTAAGAAGCATTGTTTAATAACAATATCAATGAAAGATCACAATATATTGACAGTAGTGGGGAAATATTACTTTAAAATATAAACATTCTACCTCAAGGTAATTACTATTAAAAAGCACCCTAGTTAATAAAATCTGGACAGGCATACTCTCTGATTAACTGTACAAAATTATTTTTTTCTGGAAAGATAGTTATGTGTTTTGCTGCTAAGACAGCCAGCAGATGACTGCTCAGCCTGAAGGGATTTCTCTTCCTCAGGAGAAAACAGTTTACATAGGAAACAGCCATATGCTGACTATGCACTGCTTAGCAGATGACATAGAGAGACATGTTCTACAACTGAAAGCATGAAGGTCAAGGTTCAAATTAACTTTCCCTAAAATTCAAGGCAATTACCCAAGATTGAAATACTAATTAGTATAAGTTGTGTTAAAAAAAACTGTGCTATCAATTTACGCCTGGCATAAGATGAACTACATTTAATAACCTGCTATTAATAATTTGGTAATGTTGAGCATTAAAGAACATACCCATAAAATTTTCTAAACATTCAGTAGACTATCAAATAAAGCTAGTTCAAAACAAATAAGAAATACTACTTGCAAGACTGTTTTCAAAAGTTCAGTTCAAAACTGAAGTAGATAAACAGTGAGTTTTTATAAGTCTTAGAAAGAGAAATAGATTTTAAATTTACAAGTCCTCATCAAGATATATCATTCTTGGCTTGTAAAGAAAAATAATAATTTTAAAATAAAATTTAAAAATGTATCTGTAATTAAAAATGACTTTATCTTTACAGAGGTGAGCTTCCAAAGATGGATGGAAACTGCAGGTGTAAGGACTACCATATATTTCTTAGCATTCCAATTCTTAGAATTTATAATTGTGTGAGATAAATTTAATTGCATCAAAATTGATTTTTCAAGAACAAGAATACAACTTTTACCACATAGCAAAGATCATCACCTAAAGATTGGTCAGTGCTTTTCACTGGGTCCAGCTTTATTATATGTGCATGTTCAGTAGCTCAGTTGTGTCCAACTCTTTGGGACCCTATGGACTGTAGCCCACCAGGCTCCTCTGTCCATGGGATTCTCCAGGAGAGAATACTGGAGTGGGTTACCATTTCCTCCTCCAAGGGATCTATCATCCCAACCCAGGGATCCAACCCACATCTCCTGTCTCTTGTATTGGCAGGTGGATTCTTTACCACTGTGCCACCCGGGAAACCAAACTTGAATATAATTGGATTTAAATGAAAACAAAAATAACTAATCCTAAAAATAACCAATAAATACAATCTTCTTGGTGCATTATTTAAATTTAAATACATATTAAAAACATGAAAGACAAGAATATTATTATTTTCATACAAAGATAAAAGTTTGAAATGACATTCCATATCATTTTCTCCCCATTGTTTGAGAGATTGACAATTGTTAGGAACCAAGTAATCCAGTTGTTACAGCTGTAAAACTTGGTTTAAAAGGCAAATAAAACACAGATAAATGTTTTTAAAGACATTACCAACAACTGTGCTGTGAAACCAGTGTTGCCTCAAGACACTTTTGTTAATGCTATTACTTTGGGCTATAGCGTCACTAAGAAATTAGATGCAATCTTTGTCTTCCTGTCTCTGAGCCTTTGGGAGAAAGAAGAATAGCTCTTATTGAACTTTTGGTGCCTCAACTAAGAAAATGTAACAAAAATAATAATACACTCCAGGAAATAATAAAACCAAGCTATAATAGTGCTTTACAGATTTAACCTACAGCAAATATGACCCAATTTTCCCTGTCTACCCTCCTGTCTGGTATTTATGTAACACACAAAAGGCTAGTTTTGAAAAATGGTGAATGAGCAGTAACCATTGGCTAGAATAGATAACTGAAATATATGTGAATTAAATTACTACACATCTATTTTGTAGTGTACTGAACCATGATTAAAAAAAAAAATTTTAACTACAGAGAAGTTAATGTTTCCCATATAACTTATGTGTCCAAACAACACAATTTATCTAAACAAAAACGTCCTTTTAATTTTTGCAATTTAACTAGTATAAAAATTACTGGAAGCAAACACTATTTAAGCTTTTTAAAATATTTATATTACTAATATGGATCCTTATTATTATACTATCCTCATTAATACCAAATGTACAACATCTACTTTCCCCTTCCCAACTATATGAATTGTTAATGAATGAGATCTTAAGGTATTTTCTAGAGTAGTTTCATTAAATTTTATTCAGTAAATTATAATTATTAATTATTTTTTTCCTCTGGAGCTTGAAAACATTGTGGAATGTGTCAGGACTATCCCACTAAGATTTGTGAACTATGCATTTAGGGACTGTGTATTAGAATATCTTACTGGTAAAAGTTATATAATGATCTTCTGTCTGGTTTCAATTTCATGATCGTATATTTGTTGACTGAGACTGCAAGAACTTTTCCCATAATGGACTCTCAAGGTTATGGAATGTCTAAGTTAGGAAAAGAGCTTAATTGGAAACTAACAGTACCTTTTAAAATAACTTCACAAAAGCCAGATTAAAACAGACAGGTCTCTAAATCCCAATGCATTAAGGATATCGTGATCATCTGAGGTAAAACTAGAGGTGTTTTGAAAAGGAAGATATAGAGGGTAAGCATTTAGACACTCAATTCAACTCTAACAACTTGTAAAAAACTTCTGACAATGACAAGAATGCAAGGAGAGTAGATAGTAACACAGAAACATGAGATGATCTTTGATATTTCTGTTGCTACATATTTCTTATAAAGAATTAAAATCCCAGAAAATTTACAATCACTGATTTCCCTCCTGGTTTTTATTTCCTTAGGTACTATATACAAGAGTTGGCCTCGGTTATCTAGGCCGACATCATCTTTCTTGATTTAAATTTGCTCTCAAATATTAACTTACACTTATCTTCACAGAAAATAATTATTCTTAAATATAATGGTGTCAAGAGTTAGAAAAGTGTTAATGTAAGTTTAAAAAAGATGTCTTTGGCAAAATATATGTCTTCTTCTAAATAAGCTGAACCTTTAAATTCTTTTGCTTGTGCTACATTTAAAGTTGAGTTTAAAAAATAAACATACAAGGAAAAAGAAAAATATCTTTCTGCTGTGATTCCAGCTTTTCTACATATCACTGATTTAGCTCTAAGACCTACACTGAGAATCAAGGCAATAAGAGAAAGTACAGTAAGTTAATTATCAGTTAACTTCAAATAGAGAAATATAAACTTGGGTTTCAGGTAAATGTTCTAAAAATGTGAATGTCTAGTTTTGACACAGTTTTAAATGATTTTTTATTCTATCTAATTAAGTTTTATGCTCATATAAGATATCTATGGCCTTCTGTCTCAAGTATTCTGTATTACATGGCTCTATGAGTGTGAATCAAATCATCTAAGTTTTTTGGAACTGATTCCACATTAATAATATGATTGAGTTGGAATAATCTGTCTGTAAATTCCTTTCTAGGTTTACAATTTCACAATTATCTGTGATTCTATAGTCATGTTCTAGTTGAATGTTGGATGTAATGTTAAAGATTATGAAAATTGATTACATAACTAGAATTTTGAACATGAAAGAAAGTGAAAGTGAAAGTCACTCAGTCGTGTCCAACTCTTTGTGACCCCATGGACTATAAAGTCCATGGAATTCTCCAGGACAGAATACTGGAATGTGTGGCCTTTGCCTTCTCCAGGGGATGTTCCCAACCCAGGGATCGAACTCAGGTCTCCCGCACTGCTGACAGCTGAGCTACAAGGGAAGACTGTTATATTGAAATATCAATCACCTTAGAAAACATTATATATAAAAATAGACACAGTTACATACACAGTTTCATATATAGTTATAGTCAAATTTAAAGTGAATTAGATCTAAATTTCATTTGTCTGTCATATATTCTCAATTTCTGTCATATATACATATATACTCAGCAGGATTCTTTCAAGGGAATGAAATTTTCTGACTCTTGAATGCTTATTGAAAATAAGAAAAGCCTGATTCTAATTCAAATACAATACACATCAAGACTCTAGATATAACAGATGAATCATTAGTTAACCAAATCCTTCCTGGGGTAATTTCAAATGAGTGGCCTTTTTTATCTGTATAAATATACTGAACCATCAACCACCCAAGGATTCCCATCACATGCTTTTCTCTCAGGGTGCACTACAGTGTAGCAAAGATGATAAAGTATGAGGCACATATATACATTTCTCTAGATTTAGCTTTACCCAAAGTATAATATAGTTCTGACAATTGGAAACAGTTTAAAACCATAACTTCCACTACCAGTCAAAAGTATTTCTCCTAATGAAGACAAATGAAAAATATCTTACAGTATTCTTTTTATATTCTCATACTCTATATATTTAAAAGGAAAAAAGGAAGGGAATAAATCAATTTCAGTGAGCATCTTCAACAGAAAACAGCTCCAAAAGGTAACAAGACAAGGACATTTGCTCAATACTATAAAAAACCTAAAGGAGAAAAGAATTTGAAAAAGAATAGATATATGTATAATTGAATCACTTTTCTGTCCACCTGAAACTAACACAAAACTGTAAATCAACTCACAGTCCATTATAAAATAAAAATGTTCTTAAATTTTTTTTTTAATTAAGTACAACAGTTCACAACTATGTATGAATCGCAATTTACCTTGAATAACCAGCTAGGATGAGAAATTCAGAAAATTCAATAAATAGTGGAGGATATACACATATAAAGCTACAGATCTTCCTCAGGTAAAGCCGGTGATACATGTTTAATTTTTTCTTATCATGAACAAGGCAAATGATCCCATGCTACCATCCCTCCGCCACCTCACAGGCCACATGCTCCCCAACACTAAAAGCCCACTTTACTTACTGGCTACCTCCAGCGATGCATTGTGACTCACAGCCTCTCCGAGGTAATTCCTTGCTACACAGACGTAGACCCCTTCATCAGGCCTACTTTTTCGTCCATGCACTATACGTAAGAAAAATAAAGATCCACTTGGCAGCAACATTCGGTGTGAACGAGGGTCATCTTTGTCTGTTTCCACTCTCTCCCCACCTTTGTACCATTCGATGGTGGGTGTGGGGCGACCTTCAGCTTTGCAGTTCAAAGTTGCAGGTTCTCCTTTTGATACAATTAGATCTGAAGGGTGTTCAACAATGCGAGGTGGAAAATCTTCCTGACGAAGACGGGAGCCTGCAGAAGAATTGACAAAATAGCTTCATATCATCACTTGAAAACAATTAAAAGTCTTATTTCAAAAGCCCAGGCATTAGCACTACCATCTAACAAACACTGCATAGTACTGACCTACTCTTCCTAACCCCCTTCCTAACTAATCCCTCTGGTGTCTACTTTAACCATACTTTCTAATTCCTGAATCCTTTTGACCCTCCACTTAGAAAGTGCTCTTGCTAAAACTGTCTGTACAAATTCCGTCTACTCTCCAAATCCCCTGTCCACAAATCTTTTCAGAACCCATCACCCTGTCTGTTTGTACCATGTACGTGCCTGTTTTTGCAGAGGAATGTGTCAGAGAATTGTTGACTGTTACAAATAATGGCAAAGCTTCCTGGAATCTCCTCCTCAATAAAACATCAATCAACACTTTAGAAAAACATATGCTATATATTAATGAACATTTATGTTGAAATATGGATGGAACTTTATATAGATTTTGTATCTTTCTAAATAATAAACATATATACAAAAATATATTAATGTATTTATGTACACATAAGGATTGCTCAGCCATGTCTGACTCTCTGCAACCCCATGGACTGGAGCCTGCCAGGCTCCTCTGTCCATGGAATTTTTCAAGCAAGAATAGTGGAATGGGTTGCCATTTCCTACTTCAGGGGATCTTCCCAACCCAGGGATGGAACTTGGGTCTCCTGTAATGCAGACAGATTCTTTACCATTAACATCACCTGGGAAACCCCATACATACATACACACACACACACACACACACACATATATATACAACACACACATATGTTATATATATGTATTTATATATACACATATATATACTTTCTCAAGAGTTTTTATTCAATAAATTAAGTTCATTAGTCTCCAATCATTATTTTATTACTTTAGTAGATTTCAAAGATGAAATGTTACACAATTGAGTTTAAATAATTAAATATTAATTTGAAAAGGATATTAGGTGAGGAGCTACATTCTAGACCATATGTATTGCTTAATAAGCAAAGTCCTATGAGTGTCATTTAAATATTTTCTGTTTGTGCCTTATTTTTTCCAACGAGATTGTAATCACTAAAATGGGGATCAAATTTCATATCTGTAATGTTCCTACCTTACTGTTGCCATGGATAGATTTAATATGTAAAAATCTTAAAAGATTTCTCAACTTCAACCAAACTGTAAACCTTATTCTCATCTAGTGTTCCAATCTCAATGAACAAAGAAAACTAAAAAGCAGTCTTGCTTGACACGTCTTTCTGTGCCCTTAATCCTCCCTCACATTTCTCAAATCAATCTACTCATCGCAATCTGTACAGCCAGTTACCATCCCAGATCAAACTGCTGTAGATTCCCACCAGGATTTAGGAAAGCTCTTAAATAGCTTCACTTCAATGCAGCCAAATGAAGGCTTTGAAGTGCAAATACAATCTGGGTCCTCCCCTATTTCAGTGATTCTTAAGCTCATTGCTCTTGAAGTCTAACAGGACCTACTGGAGTCTGTGTTCATTTCCCTATCTAGCTCTCAGGACCCTTCCTATTCCGTTGCTTTCTCTGCTTTCTTCACCTGAGTTTTCTGTTTGTTCCATATATATATATATATGTATATATATATATACACATATATACATATACACATATACATATATACGTATATTAAGCTTCCTCCTTCCAAGGCCTATGTCTGCCTTAGGGTCTGGTCTCAAAAAGATCTTATTCTAATGTATACCCATTCCTCTTTCAAATCTCTACCTTCTCTGCTCTTTACCACAAAATTTAAATGCTACTTTTTAGCAAGGATATAAAACTACCTGTGGTAAAATAGTGAGAATTATATTTTAAATTTTTTCACTAGATGCCTTGAACACTGTCTGTCTTTCCCATTACTCTGGAGTTCTGTGGGTCTAATTTTGCTCATGGTTTCTTCTCTTACACTTGGCAGATTGCTGAACACATTATACATATTCAATAAATATATGTTGAGTAAACAAAAAGTGCTAACAGCAACACCTTATTTGAGTGCAATGATCTGAATCTTATTTATCATGCTGTGTATGAAAATACTTTAAATAGTTCATTTTAATTTTTTGTTATTTTATTTAATATTTTTTAATTTTATATTTTATTTATTGGGCTGTGCCAGGTCTTAGTTTGGGCACGTGGTCTTCGATCTTCATTGGGGCATGTGTAATCTTTAGTTGCATCTTGTGAACTCTTAGTTGCAGCATGCAGGATCTTGTTTGTTGTTCGCTGACCAGGGATTTGAATCTGGTCCCCCCGGACTGGGAGTGCAGAGTTTTAGGCACTGGTTTACCAGGGAAGTCCCAAAAGATTTTATTTTTAAATTGCAACCATATATACACACTGTTTAACCTCTACTAGACTATCAACTCTGCATGGAGTTTATTTATAGCTCTAATTTGTAATTACTACAGTTACCATTTCCTAATGAAATGATAAATGATGAAACTAAAAGATCAATTATTTGCTTATGCCCACCATGAAACAAAAAATATATAATCTGAAATACTGAGTAATAGTTTTGCAATCTGAAATACTGAGAAATAGCTTTAGTTCAGTGCATGGTATACAACATATCATAAATCTTTTAAATGAAACCAGGCTCTAGAAGTAGAGGAAATAACCCAGCAACACGGGGAAAAATTACTATGGAAACTCATGGTCTTTCACAAAAGCTATACTGACGGCAAATGAAATTTAAACTGAATTTAAGATTACTCAAATACAAGTACTGGAAAGCTCCAGAAAATACAGCATTATACTATATTACTGGCCTTTATTTTGGCTCTAATTATGAAAGCTGGATGCTAATGATGAGCAACTGCTAAGGCCATATATATTTAATTTAAGATTTTATTTATATTCTGAAAGTTATTTCAGATAGGAAACTGACATGTATAGGTTGCTATGAGAATATAAAAAATGGGCACTTTAAGACTGCCTGAGAGAGGTATGCCAACATAAGAAACTTGAAGTGAGTCTTAAAAAAATGAGTCAGAAAGAAAAGAAAGAAGAGGATTTCATTCAGAGGCACAGATACAGAAGAATACAGTGCACTTGTGTGATCTCAGTTTAGGCGGACATCAGAGATTGTGACGACCATGCCTGATTAAGCAGTAATGTGATGGGCTTTGTACATCAAGCCAAAGTTCTGGAACCTAACTGAAGGCAATTGGTTCAGTTCAGTCAGTTCAGTCACTCAGTTGTGTTCATGTCAGTTATGACCCCAGGGACTGCAGCATGCCAGGCTTCCCTGTCCATCACCAACTCCTGGAGCTTGCTCAAACGCATGTCGATCGAGTCGGTGATGCCATCCAACTGTCTCATCCTCTGTCGTCCCCTTCTCCTCCTGCCTTCAATCTTCCCCAGCACCAGAATCTTTTCTAATCCGTCAGTTCTTCCTATCAGGTGGCCAAAGTACTGGAGTTTCAGCTTCAGCATCAGTCCTTCCAATGAATATTCAGGATTGATTTCCTTTAGGATTAACTGGTTTGATCTCCTTGCATTCCAAGGAACTCTCAAGAGTCTTCTCCAACACCTCAGTTCAAAAGCATCAATTCTTCAGTGCTCAGCTTTCTTTATAGTCCAACTCTCACATCCATACATGACCACTGGAAAAACCATAGCTTTGACTAGATGGACCTTTGTTGGCAAAGTAATGTCTCTGCTTTTTAATATGCTGTCTAGGTTGGTCATAGCTTTTCTTCCAAGGAGTAAGCGTCTTTTAATTTCATGGCTGCAGTCATCATCTGCAGTGATTTTGGAGCCCCAAAAAATAAAGTCTCTCATTGTTTCCCCATCTATTTGCTATGAAGTGATGGGACCAGATGCCATGATCTTAGTTTTCTGAATGTTGAGCCAGCTTTTTCACTGTCCTCTTTCACTTTCATCAGAGGCTCTTGCATTCCTTTTCGCTTTCTGTCATAAGGCTGGTGTCATCTGCATATCTGAGGTTATTGATATTTCTCCTGCAATCCTCATTCCCTCTTGTGCTTTATCTAGCCTGGCATTTCGCATGATGTACTCTGCGTATAAGTTAAATAAGCAGGGTGCCAATATACATCCTTTTCCAATCTTGAAGCAGTCCGTTTTTCCATGTCCAGTTCTACATGTTGCTTCTTGACCTGCATACAGATTTCTCAGGAGGCAGATCATGTGACAATAACATTCAAATACTGTAAGCAAGGAACTGTATGCTCAAGTTTGGTATTAAAAAGCTCACTATCAGTACTATGAAACTAGAATGCAGCAGCTAGCTAGGAAGGGATTAGGATACTTTCGCACTCTTTCAATAATAAATTCTGAAAGCTTGTACTTGGATCTTGAGTGACAGGAAGGAAGATAGAAGGAAGAATCTAGAGATAGTTACAATATCAACAGGATGTACTCACTGACAATTTGGGAAAAGATGGAAATGAAAAATGCAGAAGATGCAGGAGAAGCAGCGGGGTAGAGAGAGTTCAAGATTCTGGTCTGAGCAATGGGTGAAGGGCAGCCCCAGTGAAGGTCCAGAATAAAAGAGTGAATATGGGCAGAGGAAGAAGGACAGAGATGATTTATTCAGCATGAGTCATGGAGAGTTCAGGATACTTCCAGAATACACAAATGAAGACAACTAGTTGCCAATGAAATATCCAGACCTCAAGGAAAAAAAAAAAAAATCTCAGCTGGATCTGTAGATGAGAATCAAGCTGGAGACTGAAACCCTGGGAAAGAATAAAACTGTCTAGGGAGAGTGTATAGAGGAAGTAATGGCCAATTACAGAAACTGGAGATCACCCAGGCTCCGTGAAAATACAGTGGAGCTCAGGACTCTCCCCGTCTCTAACCTATGGCCCCACACACCTGGACCATGGCCAGCATGCCTTTGGAAGTGGAGAATTCGGGCCCAGATTTTCACCACGATGTTTGTACAGCAGCATTCAGTAAAAGAGTTTCAGCAATAAAAATGCTCTCTGTTCTATTAA